CCAAGAGAAGTTATCTCGGCTAGGAAGTCGAAGTAATGTCTGTTATACCGATCTAATTCCTTTAAACGTGATAAGAAATTTCGGAACATTTGAAAGAGAAAGAGATAGAGATAGTGAAAGGAAGAGAAAGAGAGAGAGAATGACAAGGAAGGAAGGATTAACTAAAGGTGATCTTCTAACAAACGTTAGAACGTTAGAACGAGGTCCCTCTCTCTCTCTCTCTCTCTCTCTCTCTAAACGCAAATGTGAGGTGAGTTTTAATACGAAATTAGCCAAGTTAAGAGCTAGTAAGGAAAGGATAGTCCATAGACGAGATATCAGACAGAGCTTCCTAAGTTGTTTCGTTCTATGAACACAAGGGAACACTATGCAAACCTTGTGGCATAGCTTCGCACTTCCACGTTCTGAACATTGTACATCCGTTAGGCGAGCTTCAACTTCCAAAGTCACTTACCTCCTTCTCTCTCTCTCTCTCTCTCTCTCTCTCTCTCTCTCTCTTTCTCTCTCTCTCTCTCTCTCTCTTTCTCTCTCTCTTTCATTCTCTCTCTTTCTCTCTCTCTCTCTCTCTCTCTCTCTCTCTCTCTCTCTCTCTCTCTCTCTCTCTCTCTCTTCCTCAAACATTTCTCCAAATTTACATTTAGTAGGTAAAATCCTAGGTAGGTACGGTTCTTTCGAGCTTATCCATGTATCACTGTTGACCTGTAAAACAACAATACGAAATGATTTCTATCGTTTGAAGAAAATTCTGAAAGGAGGGAGAGAGAGAGAGAGAGAGAGAGAGAGAGAGAGAGAGAAAGGAAGAAAGAAAGAACTGACCATTATCAAAACATTCTCTAGTTGTATCTCAAGAATATCTCGACATAATGCCGACGTTAATAATGGTGTTTTCTATAAAAATAGAAGAAAATTACTTGAAACGTCACGTTTCGTGTTATTTATTTAATGGAAGCCTTTTATTTTCTTAAATCTGCCAGAACTTTATTTTTCTTTTCTTTTCTTTTCTTTTATTTTGTTTTTTTTTTGTTGTTTTTTTTTCTTAATATACCTTAAACGAAATAACAAACATCTGCTTCTTTCCAATACCATTTTGTGGTATAAAAAAATATCGTCGAATTTGTTTTTTTTTTAACTATAAAAAATGCGTAGATACAAATTAAATAGAATAAAACACTCATCAACCTTTTTTTTTTTATTCTTCGTTCGATTGCAAATCATCGTTATCTCATCGATATTATTGCCAAAGTTTATTTATATCTCTTTGTTGGCCATTGTATTCGTATCAATTTGATTAAAACTCTCGTTTTACGTATATACACCATGAATTTTATCACAAGTTTATCTTTCGTGCTGATGTTATTTTGTCAGTATAGAAAAATTATAGATGAACGCCAGGGACCGATCGAATTTACAATTGACCGCCATCAAGTTGCGAAATATCTCGTGTGCATTATGATATAGCGATATACCGATAGATTTAATCGAATTTCATATTTAGTTTTGCGATAATTCTGGCAACGTAGTAATATCTCTACGATATATAGAAAAAAATTATTATACTAATTTTATGAAAAATGTATTTATAAATTGGAAATGATTCAATGAAAATCTATTTGAACTTGAATCTATTTGAATCTATTCAACGAAAACTACTTGAATTTTCAATAAGAAAAATGTAACCTCTTGATTTCTTTTTTTAATTACTTAAATTAGAGTTCATACGTTGATTAAACAAATTGAGATCGTTAAATTAGTTTTTTCTTTATTTTATTTATTTTATTATCAAAATATTTTGTTCGATTTAATCATGTGATTCATCATGACAAAGATAATTTTAAAATCTACAGAATTTTGAGATCAATGAAATCTATAATTTCTTCTTACCGACGCTCTGTCATTTAAATGATCTTAGTTAGTTGACAGTCCGTTAGATGGCGTTGCGTAGTTTTTCTCATTAGAGAATAAACGGATCCATTTTTTAAAACATTATATTTAGAGAGCACAGAAAACGATTGATACAATTTTAATTATTCAATTGACAGAATACCTTGTAAAGATTTCTTTAAATTCTTGTTCCGATCATTTCTAACAGCTGTTAGTTAACGTCTTATGGAAACGTAATCTAAATTCGTGAATGCACGTCCAAAAAGTTACTATGTTTCAACTTATGAACATTCCATACGGAAGGTTGATTTGAAAATTATTACACATTTTTAGCCAATATCATTCTTGTGATTTTGTTTACAAAAATGCAGCCGAAATTACAGATTTTATCTAACATCATAGAGGTAATATAAAAAACCTATATATATATATATATATGTGTATGTATATATATATTTTACAAATAATTATTTACAATGCATTATTTTTAGAGATTAGAAAATGTAATTACTACAGCTACAGGTCATTTATATGGAATAAAATATAATGATACGTTAGCAATAATAACATTTAGTATTGATAATAATAGTGATGATACTTTTAATACTCTGTCATTTGAAAGTTTTTTACCTACAAATCTAGATCCTTGTGGAATATTATACATCACAGAAAGTGATGGAAACATTCCTGAGGCAATCAAAGTAAGCAGAATATAATTTCAATAATATATTATTTTCTTACAAGTGTTATTTTAAACGATCATAATTTATTTTTATTAAGAATCATGGAGTAGTTTTAAAATATTTCCTGGATAATACAAATGTAGAATGGTATTCTTATAACAATGGTGAATTAGAAAAATTTAATAATATTGAGATAATTAATGAAAATAAATTTAAAGAACAATTTGCATATGTTAGAATACAATTAGGTATACCGTTAATTGGTGAAAATGACAAAATATTGGATACACTGAAAAAAATTAATGAACAAGTAAGTTCCATTTAAAAATATTAATTATCATTTAATATATTTTTATAAGACATTGATAATTATTATTATTACGAAATAATTATACTATTATTGAAATAAGATTTCATCCGGAAAAGTAGCATTTTACTTTCCGTCGAAGAAGATCTACCTTTTTAGTAATAATGATGATGGTGATGTGGAAAATGCGCAACTCAAGGAACTTCTTAATGTTCTAAGGACGAATAGTGGATCTGTACATAATATAGTTAGTATAGAATATATTGAAAATTTTATTATGTCTCTATATAATCTATTTACTTTTATACTAAATAATACTTTTTAATATATTTTTTCTAGAACGCAATATATGCAAATGCATTATTACAAATATCTAAAAGAGAACCTAACTCTGCATGTAAACATGCTCCAGTATTGCATCAAGCAAAATGTAAGTAACACTTTGCTATAAAAATATATATATATATGTATTTTATATCAATATACTATTAATTAAATGTTTTCTTTGTATATTACAGATGCATTTGACAGTATAGAATATACTTTTAATATTGATAGATTAGTTTTAGTTAATCATGATGTAACTTCTATAGAATTATATAAAGCATTAGTCAAATCTATATGTCAATACATAAACATTGTAATAATGTTTTGGAAATCTAATCCTTATATTTGCACGGATTATGTAATCCCATTAGAATGGTTCTATTTTAAACCACGAATACTTGGACATTTATTAACAGTGCCTTATATAAATGGATGGGATGACGATAACATGAGTAAGTTAATTTATATATATAAAGTAATCCAATACAAAAGTATACAGTACTACTTCTTCTTTTTAGCTTCATGCTTAAAGCAATTACACACAACATTGGCATTAGATTTAACAAGACCTTACTTCCGGCGTATGAACAGTGTGCAATTCTTTAACGATGTACAAAACAGCGATATGCTTATAAATCCCCACGAGTCTATTCCAAGCATTACAGGTATGGCCATAACTTTTTCTTTATAATTGAAGCATTTACTCTATAAAAAGAATATAATATTACAAATATTAATTTTTTCATTAAGATGGTAAATCAAGTATTGTGTATGGATTATATTCTTACCATCATTATATGCAAAATGAATTTGATGATAATGGGTGGGGATGTGCTTATAGATCTCTTCAAACTATTATATCTTGGTATAGGTAAGATATCAAACAAGTTTCTATAAAAATATACTAATGCAATATGTATAATAATATACTATGATGCAATTTAGTTATATTTATACATTATAGATTACAAGGGTATACCAACATACCAATACCATCTCACAAAGAAATACAAAAGTGCTTAGTTGAAATAGGTGACAAACCATTTAATTTCATAGGTAGTAAACAATGGATTGGATCAACCGAAGTAGGTTTTATATTAGAAACTCTCCTTGGAATTAATATAAAAATATTATGTGCTTCGAACGGAGAGGAAGTATCGATTTTAGCTTCGGATCTCGCACATCATTTTGATACACAAGGAACACCAATTATGATCGGTAAGATTGGTAATAAGTGATCAATTCAATCATTTCAATTAAATTAAAATTTGTATTTCTTTTTTCATAGGTGGTGGAGTATTAGCTCACACAATTTTAGGAGTAAATTATAATGAATCATCTGGAGAAGTAAAGTTTTTAATTTTAGATCCACATTATACTGGTCCTGAAAAGATAAATACAGTAATAAACAAAGGATGGTGTGGATGGAAAACCAAAGATTTTTGGAGAAAAGATTCATTTTATAACATGTGCCTTCCTCAAAGACCTATATGTATATGATTTCAATAACCTAATATCATATTAAATAAAATATGTATAGGTTTATCAGTGTAATTGTATTACTTAAAATATGTTAATTGCACAATCTGCATTTATTGTAATATAAACATTGTAATATAACAAAAAGTTTTATATGCCACTAAGTTCTATTTTTTTAATTATTTCTAAATATTACATTTCTATATTTGAAACAAATTCATGTCATGTTGTATAATGTATATTGCATTAATTTATGCAATATAATATGTCCTTACTATTCAAGTTATATATATATTACTACCATAAATTGTCCTTGTTTTTTGGTAATAATTTTAATAACCTAATAATAACAGAGTCCTACATATACATCAATGAAAAATTTTGCATAAGCACAGTTGTTGAAATTATATATCCAAAATACAATTGCATATAAATTAAGTGACCTTATTATTTGAATTTATATATAAATATAAATATGTACGAATAATATACATTCTATATTCCTCCTGATTTCTGTAACAATTGAGCAAAACGGGAAGTAATAAGTAATGAAACGTCAATGAATCTATCCACACAATTATGTAAACACGTTTCTGTCCGACTATCCAATTTATTTCCTGGTTTATCAACACATTTATCCCAACATAATTCATTAAATTCGTGGATCTAAAAAAAAACACCATTAAAAATTAATACAAGCATATATGACATAACCTTTTAATTGAAAAACACGAAGGATTGATTTTATAAAATATTAATAACGTAAAAGAAGGTAAATGTAATTTTACGAATATTATGGTTTCATTTAAATATCATATTAAATGAAATAATTGTGTCCTATAATATACGTAATTACTTTTCTAATTACCTGTGCATTAAACCGTGCCGTTTCTTCTTGAATCGTTAAGAATTCTCGTAATTCGTTATCATCTTTCTTTGATTTAATGTCATCATCGAAAGAAGAACTATCAAGTATGGTCGACATGATTTAATGAATGTAATTACCGTTGATAAAAAATAAATTCTTTTAAAAAATTTTTAATAATTTACTCTTAACTCACACGTGTTACAAAGCTAGAAACCATGTAATATGTTTCGATATCTCGATATGTCTCAATAGTATATTCAAGATAAGGAACGTTCTCTTCTCTGATTGGTTCTTTCACTAATTGTACATAAACATTATTTACAAAAATGTAACAGCGCAAAATGCCGAAATGTATTATTTTTAATATTTAGATTATATCTTTATTTTTAATTAAATAATCTAGCATTATAAAACAAGACACTATCTATTACATTAATTTTTATTTATGATAGAAAAAAGTACAAAAGGTACACTAAAACGAATTTGTTATATTTAATATAAAAAATAGATGTACACATTAAAAACAAATAGATAGTGTGTTAATAAATAATACTGATATTTTTTTTGGAATACACATATATATATGTATGTATGTATATATATATATGTATATATACATATATATAATATCATGTTACTTATATACATTCTTTATTTTGAAAATTGAGGTACACTGGCATAAAATCATTGAATATAACTATAACAAATTACATTATATCTTAGCTGACCAGAAAAATTCAATATGGATATAGAAGTAAACCAATCAAGATCTGAACGTATAGAGTATTTCAATTTCTTTGAGCTAAACTGCTATTTGCAGGTGCTACTGACATTTCTCCTCCTTGCGTATTATCACGCTGTGGACTCTATACAAACAAATTCCTCATTATTATGCATATTGAAAAAATAATATTATTAACAAATATTAATAATATTAAGTAATAAACAGAAGGAGGATTATTATTTGTACCTTTACATGAATTTGTTTTTTTAACATAGCTGCTCTCAAAATTAACATGCGTGTACGTCTCTGATATTCTTTACCAACACCAATAGATTTTTCAAACGTTGTACTCCGTTGATCAACATCTTTCGCATATAAAATCTGAAATAAAATTCAATAAAAATTATAACACCTCATTAAGCCAAAATTTTTATTAAATAATATTACCTTATTGTGAGAATCAATACGAGCTTGAATTTGTCCATCAAGAATAAGTTGCATTAATTCATCTTCTAATTCTGGGACTGTTCTATTAAATGCAGTTGCCATTCGTCTCATGTCAGCACTTAAATATGGACTAAAGTATTGGATCAATGCTCTATTTCGGATTTGTGTGTACAAAACATTTACATGTGGTGCTATATAAATATCTAGAAGTATATTATCCTTTATCTCATCGAGTAATTTTAAACAAGACGCATATTTTGATTCATAAAATTTGAAAATAATATCTCTTAGTTGTGGTTCCAGTTCTAGAAATAATTTGAATGAACTACTAAATATAACTTGTTTTTGTAACTCGTGTCTATCAAAAGTAGCCAATGCACAAAGGCCTCCATAAAGTGCTACATTTCCAGGTGAAAGTAAATCTGGACAGTCACAATGATCTAATGATGCCTGAAGAAAATGTCTTGCAGCCATTTTGTATTGTCTTGTAGCTAATTCTGCTAATCCAGCTGCAACCTTTAATTTTGTAATTATAGCTTGATTGTTGTCTTTGCTATGAAGATCTGGGAAATCTGGTGTACTTTCAGCCTTAGTTACATAGCTAAGCACGTGCGACCAATTTTGTAAATAAACTGAAACCTTAATTACATTCAAGCACATATTAACAACATGCTTGCCACTGGTACAATAATCTCGTGCTCTAGAGTAACATTTTAAAGCATTGACAAGATCACCACAATCTAAGTAATGATCACCTAAATCGTCATGACCTCTTCTTATGCTTTCTTTGATTGAATTACTTTTGTAATTTTTGAGATCTGTATCAAATTTTTCTAATTTTAAAGCAGCCTTTTTAGTACGTGATTCTAGCCACATTTGATCTATTGTTAGCATATCTTGAGAAGTTGATTGTGCCGCAATGTCTGGTAAACCAGAGGAACCAGTACATTGAAGAAGCTTTTTATGTAAATTTGTATAAAGATTAACATTATAAGTAGTCATCACATAAGCAATTGCCATCTTCAATGCTTCTACTCTTAACATAGGACAATGGTCTGCTATATACATGAGCCTATATAATTTGGCAAGACCGGTATAACTATTAGCGTAAACTTCCAAATCCTGAAAATAATTATATAATTCCTGTCAATACGGTAGAATTAATTTATATATGTATATATATATATATATATATATATATATTAAAGAATTTTATTTATTAATATAGGCAACATAAAAATTTTTAATGGGAAATAAAAATTACAAAAAAGGAAGTTGCAAAAAAGAATTACATTTTCAATTTATCTTTTACCAATGATTATATTTGAAATGACAAAAAAAGAAAATAAATAAATAAAATCTCAATGTATATTTTTAAGGTTATTCGTATTGTTGGTACGTACCAATGTTGGATTTTCAACGATATATGGTTCTTCTTCGGCATTGTCATTATCTTCAGCCGGAACATCAACTTGCATAGGCTCTACCACATTTGGTTGTATATTTGCAAACATGATATAATATATTAATTTAAATCCAAGAGTATTAACATTCTACGAATCTATCGATGTCCGAAAAAAACTTTATATACCGGTTCGTAAATAATTCTTTGTATGAGTGAGAAAGAATACATCCACCCTTTCAATATCTGTTGTGTGTTATCTATCTATATTATCGAATTCACACTTATTAACTGTAACTGTAAAATAAAATAGAACTATCTAGAGAAGAATCGTACAATATATATATATATATATAATATATATATATAAGAAAATTAAGAATATAATACATACGGTAAAGGAATGTTAGTACTTTTCTATATCTTTCGTTAATTCTATCAAATAAAATTTATTTTTTCAAACACCAAAACAATGTTGCAAAATTGATAATATTATTCGTACGAAATTAATAGTATGATTTTATTATTATATATATGTATATATATATGATTTAAAATGAAAATGATCGTGTACCGTACATCAATGCAAATAGGATTTGTTGCGCTATCTACAGTTACAAACGTTTACTATGCGCGACCATATTTCAAATCTATTGTATATATTTGCATAGTATTTTATTATCGATATCAAGATTAAAATAAAAAATAATAATTGAATTAATTATTTTCTTTCAATTTGACAAACTCTTTTTTACTTCCTTATTGATTCGTATACATAATCAAAATATTGTTATCGCATAATTATATCGAATACTATACTATGATAGACATAGGTGAATGTTGATCTTTAAAGATAATATGATTATTTATATTGTGTATAATATTACATAAATATTATTATAAGGAAATTGATAAGGTGTTATTTTAAACAGCATTTTTCAAAGTTTAAGAAATAACGCACGTACACACATATATACAATGGATTTGAATAAAAGAAAATATTTATAAAAAAGATAATACAGAGTTTATTCTTGTTGATTTATAAAATAACATTAATTTCACAAAACATTTAATTATAAAATGCAAAGGACGTTTAAAGACCTTAATGTAAGATATTTTCAGATATTAAAATAATATTCATGTAGTTGTGTGTTCCTGTATATCTTGCAAATACAGAAACAGAATATTTACAAATAAAAATTTATTATTTAAAACGTATATTATTACACTGTAGAGAATTTTCTTGAAAATGTTCACATATACAAAGACTTCTGCCTCATAGAAACTTATGTCTGCTTACATAATGATATATAACATTGTGTTTTTTCAACATGTTATACAATGTACACTTAAAAAAGTTGTTTTTATATTATCAAATAATTGTAAAACAGTCGCTCATTCAATATTCTAACATATTAAATGTGTGTGACAATTAATGAACCTTTAAGACACTATAGAGAATAACATTTTTTATCTTGAAGTACACGATCAAAAAGTTCAAGCAACAGGCTAATATTTATTTGTAAATAAGAAAACATACCAAAAATATTAGAAAAGAAATATAATGTATTTACCGCCTTAGCACACTTTAATAAGAAGCACATGACCAAGATGGTCATATGCAAAAAGATAGCACTAACATCTCTTATGAAAGATATACACTGGAACAATAAATTTTCTTTTAGTCCGTTTGTAAACTTTTCTGTGGTGTATTAATATATTCTCAACCTCAACACGTTCCCCCTGTTTGTTGTTGATAAACTTCTATTGTATCTCCTTCTTCCATTTCAAGACTCGTTGGTGTATCCAACTCATTTATAGGCTGTCCATCAAATCTAAATCTTACTGCCGCTATTGCCAAGCCCTATAAGATAATAAAAATATCACTTTATTGTAACACAATATATAAATAATAAAAAGGAACGATATAGTATATAAAAGATTTAACTTACTACACGATCACAATAAGCATTCATTAATTTTCGAAGAGGTGTATGCTTCTTAATTTTAAACTGTACTACTGCATTATCCTGGCCTAAAACTTTTAAATTTATATGCTCTGATTCTGTTTTAGTCTCCTATAAGAAAAAACGATTTTTCAAAAAACTGCTTAACCTTATGCACTGTAAACAGTATTATTTTTGCAGGTTATAAAACGTTACCTTCTTTTCGTCGGACATGATTAAAGTTTAAAAAAAAGCGCTATTAATTTTGTCGAAAGATGCTTTATTTCTTAGAAAACACTTAATAGATGAAATACTAGATTTACCTAGTATATTATCGATATATTATATATTTGCCAAATATCCCGCTTCTAGCTTTATAGCAATACTCACGACATTTCGATGATACATGAACTGTATATACTACAGTTGGCTATACCTTATTTTATTGATGTAGTTATTTAGGAAAGCCAATAAGACATCTGGAGGACAATAGCGCAACTTACATAATATTTGAAATAATTCAAATAATTTAAATATTTTACAATTTCAATAAAACTCAGTAATCAGAATTTATTAATACATTTTTACAATTCTTTGTTATATATTTTCACTAATGATATTTACATTTTCATATCATTATTGATGCATTTTTAACATGAATAGAAATGTCAAATAACTATTACACATAGTCGTGTATTACTTTTAACATAGATACACAAATGTATCCTCCAAGTTGGAATCATTAAAAAATGTCATCTTCGAGCAAATCATTCTTAAAGTCATATAATACGAAATAAAATAAGTGTATTACGATTTGGAAGAATATTAAAGTTGATGTTAAAGAATAAAGAAAGAAAAATTGTAATTAAAGATCTTAAATAATTAATTGAAATTGTTAGATTGGATAAAAGTATATAACATGATATTGGTTGATTTACAAAAGCATTTTTTCGAGCGCCAAATAAGTGCGAAACGTTAACCGTATGTAATAGTACCTTAAACAGTTACCACAGAAAATCCAATATGGTGACAGTTGTAGAGCGGTTCTGTCGATCTTCTCTAATTTAAGATAAGAAAATTACGATAATGCCACGAAAGTAATAACAATAATGAAAATTCGATTGAAAATATAGTGATCAATTAAAAAATTCTCATGTCATACCAATATATTCTATAGGTGATCACTAAAAAAATATATTTCTCCAGGGACAGTGGCTGGAACTTTGCCACACACTTTGTCCTTTGAGTTGTATTTAAAGATAAAAAAAATTCATTTCTTGAGAAATGGAATGTGTCAGAGTAGAAGGTGATACGGAAACGAACGACACCGAAACTACAAAAAGCAAAATTAAAGATAAAAATGAAAGTTGTCTAACAGATGTTTTAGATATTAATACTCGTCTGAGTCTGGAAACAACAGAAATTTCAGAAGAACCTCATACAAATGGTATTTCCCAAGAAAACGGTTTATGCGATTCTTTTTCTAGAACAACCGATTCATCCAATCATCCTCCACAATCTCAAACAATGGAAACTAGTCATTTAAATCAACATGGTACGTTTAATTAAATGGATATAACGTTAAGGCACATTAAATACATTGTTATCAAAATCAAATACCAAATCAAATATATTTCAAAGCATATGAAATTTGTTAAAAATAATTATGTCTGTTTGAGTAGCAATCTAATTATGTCTAACATATTGTTTATAAGTATATCTGATTGATGTAATTTTTAAATGGCATTGAAAGTCAAATGATTATTAGATTTAACAACTGGTTCTCAAATTTGCTTTTGCAGAGTGTACTTAAAACATAGTATACTAGAGTGTACTATTAAAACATTTATAGCATATGAATACTATAAAGTATTGATTTAATAGAGACATAAAAATACATTATTTTTTTTTTTTTCACAGAAAAAATGGAAACACTATCCTTGGAAAGTAGTGATAATGAAATTCAATATGTTAGTTATACAAGTGAACTGCAAATGCCTGATATAATGAAATTGATACAAAAAGACTTAAGTGAACCATATTCTATTTATACATATAGATATTTTATCCATAACTGGCCGAAGTTGTGCTTCCTGGTAAATATACTTTAAGATAGTATTTTCATTTAAGCAGTGCTGCTATTTAAATTAATTTTCTTTGGTACCATATATTTGATATTTTATAGTAATAGAGTAATACATTAGTATTTGAACTAGTGTAATATTTTTAAAAGATATCAATATGGAGTAATATAATAGCAAAATAAAAAGAACTTAGCCAGCTTTGGTTGGATTCCTTTATCTTTCAGGTATAGAATTTACAGAAAACTCTTGCTTTTTGTTCATCAAGGCAATGCATGGTGACGAGTGTGTAGGTGCCATTGTCTGCAAGCTGGACATCCACAGAAAGGTAATAAAACGTGGATATATTGCAATGCTAGCGGTTGATGTAAAATATCGAAAACGCAAGATCGGATCGAATTTAGTGAGGAGGGCAATACGTGCAATGGTAGAGGATGATGCAGATGAAGTTGTATTGGAGACTGAAATAACAAATCGACCAGCTTTACGATTATATGAAAATTTGGGATTTGTGCGTGATAAACGATTATTTCGATATTATTTAAATGGAGTGGATGCTTTACGGTTAAAATTATGGTTTAGATGAAAACCGCCAGAGTGCTTATGTCAATAGGAACTTAAATAATTGCAGTGTTAAAGCAAAAGATTTGCATCCTTCCTTGGACAGACATACAGCATTAATGCCACAGGGATTAATGTGTACGCACAATTTGCTGATGCTAACTTTTAATGAAATAATAATTATAGACTGCATAAATATTTATGCTATTATTAATCAGAAATACAAAAAAAAGATTGTGCAGCAATATAAGTCTATTTAAATATTAAAGGAATTATGTATAATATTGGAAGAGAAATTTTTGATGATTTAATTCTTGATATAAATTTATAATATTTTTTATTTGTGTTACATTTTCATTTCTAGGTTTTCTCAGATCATTAGTTAACAATAATTGCTATGGCATTAATGCTGATTTTTTATATAGATTTCAATTACAGCCTACAATTACATAAATTTGAAAAAGTGATAGGATGGAATAAATCCAGACTGTGAAAAAAAATATTGAAAATAATCAATGTATTTTGCGGTATCACATATTATTGGGATGTATACACTGATGCAGTAAATATATACACTCATGTGCTTTTAGCAGAATAAATAAATTTAAATAATATCGAAGAGATTATGTCGGATAGACGTTATTAGATAAAAATTTTGCATTATATATATATGTATATGTATATGTATATATATATATATATATATATATATATATATATGTGTGTATATATATCTGTGCAGTATTCTACAGACTATAATTGATTATGAGTATTATATTGCAAAAAGTGTAACATCCTTTCAATGTGTGATTAATAACTTAAAAAATAAACATCAAATATAAAGCTCTCTCAGACAGAGCCACAAACAGTTAGGTAAAATATTTCCAATTGAAATTATAAAGTTAATATACGGACTGTCTGCTATTTATATATATAATATATATATGATATATATATAATATATATATTATATTAAACAATGGAAAAAGAGAGTTATTGTTCGTAAAATTAAAATATTCTGGAAAATTGTGCGTCTCGTGTTATTATCGCAGGAGTCGTACATATCACCGTCTACCTTCTATATCTACCTTTGTATAAAAATAAATGCGAAGCACAGATCATAATGTAACTATCAAAAAATATGTAAAAAATGTTAATAAAAAGTAGTAAATGTTTTTACCTACAACTTATTTAATTATAACTATCTGTACATTTATTTGCCTATCGCCATGGCTATAAATTTCCAAAATATTTTCAATCTTGTGTGTCACTAGATGACCTTTGTGTCACCAGATGACCTTTGAAATTTCGATTATCTTATGTACATTATTACGCTTATAATTACGTTATATATAAATATCTTTATTTTGATATAAAATAATTTTATAACTTATATAATCGTGACGACAGACCAAATATTTAAAAAATATATATCTAAGTTATAAAAATTATTTATGTTAATAAAAATTGTTATAAATGTTGACTGATTTATAATATTAAACATTTGTTATATCTTTATTTAGTATAAGATAAAAAAAATATATATATATTTAATATATATTTTATATATATTACTATATAATATATGTATTATTATTAAATATATTATATATTATATTATATATATATATAAATCTATCTATAAATAGAAATATATTATTCATCATATAAAAACAAATACCGCGAAATCTAGTAATTCAAACAGTTTCCAACCTATGTCGGTAACCGCGCTGTTCAAGAGCTTCATCATGAGTTCGTTTATAAAAACTCTCTTAGCAGTCTAGTAGAATATAGAATCTAACTTGAATTTACTCCGTAGTATAGTAGGACGATGAGGAAAACATGTTTGGTTGATTGAAGGAAAGGAAAATAATGTTACAGAATACGAGACAGGAGACAAAAAAAATGTGTGATAAATATGTTATCGGCTATTGGGTACGTGAAAAAAAACGACAGAAATTAAACTTCGACGATTTTGAGAAAGTATGTAGAACAGAAGGATTTTCATTAAAATTGGTAAGTTTTATATATTTTTATGGGAATGATTAATTTTAAATAAAAATTAATTCGAATATTTATTATATTAGAGGTTATGGTTTCATAGGTGTCACGTTTTTTTCATTATATACGTTTTCATTATATATATAGATTTGTTTTAAAGAGAAATTTCTTTTAATATTCTATTTTCATGTTCTAATTTTTTTTAGGTAGATATTTATTCAAGTTTAGAATCACAGGGACCACTTCATGTATTTCTACATAAACTCGTGGATTTGCTAGCACATGCTGAAGGTGGAAATGGAAATGTATGATAAAATGAATTATTTTATTTCTCTCTGATATCCTATCATAATTATCTCTTTATTTTTAAGGCTATAAACGTTACGTCAAAACTGCAAGAATATATTGATAAACATCCTGAATTAATAGTTATAGATCCTTTGGAGAATGTTAAGAAATTGCATAATCGATATAAATATTATAAAATTATCCAAGAAAGCATACACTTTAATGGTAAATGTGACAACAGATCTTTCAGTAAAATTATTTATATAAGTCAGGCATTTAATCTTGCTTGATGTTTTTATGTACGATATATTTTTTTCTTCTAGACGTATTTATTCCAAATTTTGTAGAATTAAAGAGTACAAATGTTCTTGAAAATATGCGCATTTTAAAACAAAATGGAGTTAAATTTCCCTTTGTTTGTAAGTCGCTTCTTGCTCATGGATCAAGTGATGCACACAAGGTAATTATCGTATGCATAATCGTTATAATAATTCATATATTTATATAAAAGAAATTTATATTTTTTTTGCCAGATGATGGTCATTTTCAATTCAAAAGATTTAAAAGACTGCCAGCCTCCATGTGTTGCTCAAAACTTTGTCAATCATAATGCCATTTTATACAAATTATTTGTAGTTGGGAAAAATTTCCATGTCGTTGAACGTCCAAGTTTGAGGAATTTTTATTCAGATGATTGTGCATCATTAAGCACATTGTTTTTTAATACTCATGATATATCCAAACCTGATTCTAAATCTAAATGGTCTATACTGTCGGAAGAACATATACCTACAGTGGTGAAACCGAATATTGAAATACTTGAAAAAATCGTCAGAGGAATTACCAAAATATTTGGGCTTCATTTAGTTGGCATTGATATTGTGATAGAAAATGATACTAAGAAATATGCTATTATAGACGTCAACGTTTTTCCTGGTTATGACGGATATCCAAATTTTTTTCAGCATTTAATAGACAGTATTAAACATCTTTTAATGGAACGAAAAGTTCTTAGACAAAATTCTAAAAGTTGTTCTTTAAAAAAATCTCACAGTGATGATTTAGATTCCGGTTTTGAAAGTGACGAGAAAAAAAAATGTTCTACTAAATAAATAGAGAATATATAATTACACTTATTTGCTTCTATATCTAAACATTGCGTTTCTATATTTATAAAATTAAAAATATAAATAGTGTTAAAAAAACAAATTATAGCTTATTTAATATGATTAATTTTTTATCTAAAGTACAAAGATATTTATATTGATCAAAGTTATATTATTATTATCCATTGTAATACAGTAATTAATGGCAAGTTTAGCGTTTTTAAGGCAATATAATCGTAATATCTTGTTTTAGTAGAAATAGATGGATAAGGATGTTGGAGTAAATCCTTTTCTTTTTTTTTCTTTTTAATTAGTGTTAAATTATCCGATTGTCACATACATATAAAGTTTTTTCTGAACGAAATTACCGACTGAATACTGTGATTGTAAGAATCTTGAATAGAAACTTTTTACTATTTATATATATAAGCAATTTTGCGCATTTTTTCTGACAGAATAATTTTTTATTTTTTTTATTCTTTTTTTTTTTTAATATGATAATAAATTTGAACAAATCAAATGTGTATATAGTGCTATATATGTATATAATGTTCACTGTATATATATATATATATATATATATATATATATATATATATATATATATATATATATATCGTATATATAGTTCACTTTTTACTTTTCCATTTCATATTGTAATTAACAGAGCTTAAAAATTTACATGGTCATTTGTATGTTCCTTTTTACCTATTATCAGGTAGACGTCTCTTCAGGTGATAATAATCCCCAAATATCTACAGTAATATTTGCTATATCATGATGATAATATATCAGTTAAGAATTGTTTATTTACATGTATGTACATATATTTTTTATGAATAAAATATACAAAAATTGATTACATTTAGCGAACTTCGATTTAGACAAATTTTTTTGTTATGTAATGTATCTATGATTAAATTATTCTTATTTTTTTTTCTTTGTTTCAAAACTAAATATAATTATAAATACCAGTTATTGTATTTTATTTTTTTTATTTTAAAGAATATCAGTGTTATCTACACTTACTTCGCCTGAGCTGTAATGTAATAACTGAAACATGAAAAAAAATATAATTCTTTTCAATGATATTAAGAATAATAATATTAATAAGTATTGAATATAAAAATGATATAATTTACTTACACTCGTAGTGTCACATAAAGAAGTCAATGTATTATTACTGACGAGTGCACGATTACATGTGGCTGCTGAATTTTTCATAACTTTAACTTCTCCAAGAGAATATGAACATGAACTTGGCAAGTATAATTCTCCTTCAGAATGAGACGTTTCTGATGAAGTCTAAAATAACTCAAATCGTTATATTTTTCAATGTAAAATGAACACACGAAAGAAAATTCTTATATCACATATCTTACCGTAGCAATATGTGTAACAGGTATATTAATATTTATATCGGACGTATTACTATAAAAGTAATATAACAAAATTCATTAATAACAAATAATTTTTAAGGAATAACAATATTAATATATTACATACCTGCAATCTTCACCTTCTGATAACTTATCAATTACTTTTGTAAGTAAATGCAAATTGGAAACTACCATATTTATATCAGAGCTCTTATCATTTTTATTGGTATTATCATTTATTGTAAAATGTAATTTTGTATCATTTGAATAATTTTCTTGTTTCTGTTTAGTAGAATATTTGTCTACTTCAGACTTTGTATCGGATGCTTGTTTTTCATTTTTCTTATCAAAGTAAATATCCTTAATAATTCTATCTTCACATTCAAGAATGTCTTGTTCATGTGAAATATCATACTGAGTACTTTTTTCTAATATTTGAATTTCATTTTGATTTAATTCATTGATCGAACTTTTGGTATCTTCGATTTCCATAGTATTTAATGGACAAATTTCAAAAGATTTTTGTTTCCATTGCATAGGATTGTATGTAATATCATCGAAAGAATTTGTATTAGAGATAACGTCATCATGCACTTTGCATTCGTTATCTTGCACAAATGCTTTCACCGAACAACTTTTTTCATTTTCGTAATCATGTTTTTGTATTGATAAAAGATCCAAGATTAAATCGGATTCTCGGTTTATGGTATCAACAAAAAACTTTTGTAAAATAGTAGGAATATCATGATTATATACATTCGAAAACAGTTGTAAGTGCTTAATTAATTCTTGTACTATCAAAGGATTATATTTTACATTTGATAAACTATTAACAATCGATCGTTCAAAACTGATCTTTTTCTCGAAAGATAGATGGTCGACAAATTGATCTTGACGTTTCAAAAGACAGTTTGAAGCTTTAGGAAGAAGTAATTCCTCATTATTAAACGATGTTTGATTGGATTCGTCATTTCTTCGCAAATCTTCAAGGACATCAATATTATTAGAGTGATAATTTGTTGAGAGAGGAACACAAGCCATAACATTTTCATTATTAGAACAAATTTCTAACGTTTTCTTTTCTACGTCAGGAATATTTTCTACGTTTAATTCGATAGAACACAAATTAGATTTATCTAACGTAAAAATCTTATTAATCAATTTGTCATTTTGTTTTTGTTCCAATGAATACGTATGAGCCTTGAAAGTTTCCTCTCTTAAGTTACAGAATTTATTTGTTAATGACGAATGATCGTTTATAATACACGAATTTTTTTGTAATTTGTCTTCTTCAGATATAACAATTGCTTCGTCCGATAATGATAACGTTGATTCATCATTTTCTTGATGTTTATATACTAATTTCGAAGGATTTAATTTCATTAATTTCGTATTATCACTTTTAAGGGCTATTAAATTACAATATGTAACATCAGTATTATTAGGTAACTTAGTGTTATGAGATTGAACGGATAATTTCAATTGAAATTCTTCTAACATCTCTTCTAATTTCTTTTCACTTTTAGAAATACGTTCCATCATTTTATCATAGAGAAAGAATATATCATTGAAATTTTCGATCGAAGGTGGATTTAATTCGATCTCATTAAAAATACTATTATCTGAATCTTGCATATTGTTATCTAAAACATTTCTACTCTCATCTTTTGATTTGTACGACGAATTATTTCTTAGATTGTATTTTTGAAAAATATTTTCAAAACGTTCATCGATCTTATTATATAATTTTTTCTTTTGGTCTCTTCGTAAATCATGTTTATGAATCATTTTAAATGTTTTCTCGCAAACCATTTTTTTATTTTTTTTTAATATCTTAATATTATTTTCCTCGATTTCTTTGATATTATCAAGCGAAGTTTCACTCAGATTTCTATCGATTCTTTGTCTATAATTATTAACATTTTCATAGCCCACGTCATCATGATCATTATTATCATCAACATCGTGAGATTTACTCGTATCTTTTATCTCATCTTCTTTTATAAATTTTTTTATATCTGTATCAACGTAAGGATTAACACTTTTAATGATAATTTCTCTATGTTCAGGTATTAGGTTTTTAATATGGTCCGAATAAGTAGAAGAGGAGCTTGGTTCACCATTCGAAAGAAAACAGTCAACACCTGTCCTTGGCAGATGTTTCGAAACGTTCTCTCCATCTTTATTCTCCTCCCGTCCACTATTTATTTCACGTTCAGACGATAGATCATTCCTCCTTTCGTCTATCAAGTCTTTAGAATAAGAATCATCCTCGTCCTTCGAAACAGATTTATATTGTGTTATTATATCTTGTTCAATTCTGTCTTGTTTTTTTTCTATTCTAAACTTTTTATTAATCGGTCGATTCTTGATTGAACTTTCATCGATTTCATCGATCGTTTCTTCCATTCTTGATTCATTAGTATTACTATCTTTCGATAATTTATCATTTATACAAGATTCGTGACGGAATTTATAAATATTAACGTTAGAATTATTATGAACGAAAGATGTATCGGGTGATATGTTAACGTAGCCCAAATTTTGTTTCATCAATTCCCTTGCGATATTTAACGGTGGGCCATTTTGAATCGTTAAAGATTTTATTTTACGTTTACTAACATCGACTCTATCATCTTTTATTATTTCATCTTTCTTCGTAATCGTACATTTTGGATTATTAAATTCGACTTGTTCGTAAGGTATGCAACAATAGCGATTTCTTTGTCGATAAAGAATATCGTTGGAATATCTTTTTGCAATTCGAAATTTTGGTTCCAACAAACGTGCGATTCTTTTGTCACGTTTTTTCATGATTTTCTTTGTCAAAATTTCGTCTCTCTCCGAGTTGCTTTCGGTCTCTCCATGATCGATTTCTTTGAGTTTTGAGGACACAAGTTCGCGTATATATAGTGCTTCTTCTTTTTCATCTTCTAAAGGTGGTTCTAGGTAATCGGTATACCTTAAACAAATTAAAAAAAAGATAAAATTATAAATCGAGAAAATTGCTTAAAAAAATATAACAGGCAGATAATAAATTATTTATACGATAGATAAGATAATAATAATTATATAGTAGGATTAATAATAATATATTTATATAAATATATATTATATTACATATATATAATTATTTTTATTAGTAATATATATATATTTAAATACAATTTTTATTGCGTATAAAAAAAAAAGAAATTAATGTAAATAGATAATAAAAATCTTATAATAATAACAACATTAATGAAAAAAGGATAAACAATAAGTTAATAAACTTGTTAAAATTCAACCAACCTTTCCTTCTTTTTAACTCTGCGTTTAGTTTCAGTTTTAGTGTATAGCCAAGTAACTTCTGTGATTTTATGTTGTACTTCTCTGAGTATTTTTTCTGCATTTTCGATTGCACTTTGTGTATCAGGAGAAAGTAATGGGCTCTCAAGATTATTCGTTTTGAATCTTTGCTTGTCCGGCTTAATACGATAATAGTATTAATAATTAGAAATAAAGAAAAAAGAAATGATAATAATCAAAAAAATGTTATTAGCTTTACATTGTAATAAAAAATTAATGAACTTTTTGTAAGAAATAAAAAAAGAAATAAAACTAAATATCGTAAGAATAATATAAACGAAAAAGAAGAATAATTTTTTATACCGATTCGATATCAAAATCGATAGTCGTAGATCTTCGATCAATTGTCTTTTCCCTTGAATTTTCAACTTCTTCTAAGATTCTTCGAGATTGCAAAGAATATACAGAGCTATCATCCATAAGACTCGTTGTACTGGGATAAAAATATTGCGATTCTTTGGTAGTTTCCTGCATAACATTCTTTTTGCAATAACATTCGTTATCCGATCTTCGTTGTCTTATTTTTTTCTTTGATTGATTTGCCTCGTATCGTTGTCTCCTAAAAAATATATCATTGATATATCAAATAAATTGTACAATTGTAATTGTTTGTGTAATTTATATTTATAAAAATCGTATCACTGATATAGTAAAAATAGTAAAATTTATATAAAACTTATATTCATATAAAAAATGTATCATTGGTATATAAAACAAATATATAATAAGATTTATCTAAAATTTATATTTATATATAAAAAGAACGTATATTATAGACATACAACAGATATTACAAATTTTATATAATAAGAAAAACATTTTTAATACATTCTTATTTACAAAATATTTATAAACATTTATTAGTCGAATTTAAAAGAAAAAAATTCGAAAATATTTCATAAACCCGATTAAATAAAAAAGAAAGATATTTTACGATCACATGGGTTATAATAATACGCTTAATAATTATTATCATAGAAATACATAAAATTACTAACATTATATCGGCGACGATAACAAGACAGTAATTTAATGTTCTTGCGGTCTTTCGAACGGAAACGGAACGTTCCGCGTCGCGGAACGATCCAGCATGTTCTGCGACGTCGCGAAACGTTCTGCACATCTGGTTTCGCACTGTAAGATTTCTATACACTCTATTATCGACCCTTAAAGGGAACGACCTGTTTAGTACGAATATTCCGTGTACGTAAATGATAAGAAAAATTTTATGAATCAATAAGAAAAAGAAAAAAGAAATATATATATAAATGATCTCAAATTTATTTCATTTGACAAAAATGACCGTCGAAAATATTTATCATTTATTTTGATATTTTCTTCAAAATAAAATTAATTTCTTATATATTATTTTCGAATTCGAATTGGATAAATTATATTTTATATAAATTATATTTTTTTTTCTTTTTTTTTCCTTTTCTTTTTCTTCCCATTTTTTTTCCTTTCGATTATCAGAATCGAAGGAAAAAATGAATTGTAAAATATCGAAATAAATTTTGCGTTTTTTTTTCGAGCAGAGAATGATGCTATTAAAGCATACGTCATTAATCTCCACGTATCTCCAAGAGGTCTCCCGGCTTTAATGCGCCATGATCAATAACAGTACGTCGAAGGTACGCACATGCACGACATGCTTTAAAGACGATGGAACATCGCGAATATGCATTGAAAGATATGTATATATCTATGTATTTATGTATAATGCATAAAATTGGAATTTCAAAAAATAAAAAATCGTAGCATAAAACTTTATTGAATTTTGATTGGTCAGTATTAACATAATCATAAAAGTCAACTAATCAAAATTCATTTTTCGATTTACATCACGAGATTTAGGATATTTTATATTTAATAATTAAATTTTTATCAATTACACATTAACATATAAATATTTTATTTAATTATTGCGAGTGAACAAAAAGAGAGAGAAAAAAGAAGTATAGGTGTATATATATACATACATATATATATATATATATACATACATATATATATATATATACATACACATAAAATAAAAATTGTTTGTTCTATTTAAAGAGATGCTCTTATATAAAAATATTAATTAAAAATGAAATAAATATATCGCGTGACAAGTCCGACACGAAGTTGTGATATAGAAGAACGATGACGAAATACTTAGCTCGAACTGTCGTGTGACGATACTCCTTAAGCGGTAACGATCGCGTATGTTGACCCTTAAAGGTGAAGAATCCTTTTCCTCAAGCCATGTACCATGTTCAAATTGTACAATCGAATAAAATTGCATCACAAGAATGATTTTTTCTTTTTTATTATTGATTTTTAGTCGTCAATGAGTATTAATACAAAAAAAAAAGAAAAAGAAAGACACGTAACATTACGACACGTTTTTTCAAAAGCATCTATCTAGATATTTTCTTTTTATTTACGACACTGAGCATAATTTCAATTATTTTTATAATTGAATTTAATCTTTGTTGAACTATTTTTGATGACAATGAATTTTTTGTCAACGCGGATAGTAAAGAAAATGACATCGTGACGCGTTCTTTATTTTTTTTGTTTTCCTCAAAAATCCTAATATTATATATTTTTTTACGAAAAGACGAATGAAATTTTAATAACTTTTATAATCGAACGTAATCTTTATTGAATTATTTTTACTTTTAATGAATACCTTTTTTTCTTTTCCAATTAACATGAATCGTGAAAACATTGCACCGCTGTATATTTTTCGAATATACTTCACGTATTTTTTCTTTCTTCCCTATGAAACGACCAGCATAATATTTCGATCAATTTTAATTGGTATATTTGATACTTATTAGATTATTTTTAATTTTGAATGAATATTAATAACTGTGCGAATGCAAAAGAAATTTCACGTGACATAATAGCGCATTTTATTATAACATATATATATATCATATTTTTGTTTCTTTTTTCGTTGAATGACGAGGATGATTTTCCTTATTGGATTATTTTTAACTTGAATGAATCTATGAACGCCGTATGATCTAAAAAAAATTGAAGATAATGAAAAATTATGGAAATTTATTGTTGAATTTTTATCGTAGTCACGTGACGATCGTCGCTCGCTTTAAATTCGGATTCGTTTGGTGGCAGACAGTTCAGACCGTCTGGGAACGACAGATCAATATGCCGGTACTGCGTTCTTTGTCCCGTAACCATCCCTTCTCTTGTCACCCCTCTACTCTTTCTTTTGCTTTCTCACTCTATCTCTCTCTCTTTTGCGCTCCCTTTCTCTCTCTCGCTCTCTCAATAATTTCTACCCTAGCTGAACATTGGCATTGATTTTCAATGTCCAGAAATTCTCGCGAACTTACGACGACGTAAGCACTGAGAAATTGATTCCGAAATATGAAAATTCGTGACGTAATACCTCATAAGACCATTCTAATCGGATTAATACCAAATGTGAAAACATCGTCCAATGAAAATTCTATTCAATTTATATATCATTTTAAATCATACATTTATACGTGTTAAAATTTCAATTTTGTAAAATTATTATTTACATTAATATCCTAAAAATAATGTAAAATTAAAATTACTCACAGCTATACCTGAAAATATTGAAAAATAAATTGATATAAAGACGTGATTATTGCTAGACATAACTATTTCAGACAATATTGAAATATAAAGTAAAATAAGAAATGATTTCAAGCAATTATTCGCTATGAATATTGTGTAGATTAAAGTAAAACAAAAAAAAAAGAAAAATGATTTATTACAATTTATTTCTGACAATATTGAGAAATAAAGTAAAACGAACGATTTACAATAACTATTTTCGACAGTATTGAAAAATCAAATAAAATGAAAATAGTAATCCCGTTTATTAAAACAGTAAATAAAACGGACAAGGTAGAGAGATAGAGAGAGATAGAGATAAATAGAGAGAGAGAGAGAGAGAGAGAGAGAGAGAGAGAGAGAGAGAGAGAGAGAGGAGAGAAATAATAATAAAAAGCACAATTAGAAAGAAATAATGAGAACTCAGAATGATTACACATCAACACATATATTTTTGCCTTTGCTTGCTGCATACATACGATAAAGAGTACAGTGTTACGCGTTTTTTTCGAGGTATGGTATATGTACTAGAAAATTTCATTATTCGCTACTACAATTGCTATTTGACGTATTGTTTTTCGACGTGTTTGCGCTTTCGTGTATCTGCGGTTAACTATACAGATATCGTATAAAAGAAGAAAGAAAAAAAAGAACAAAAAAAGAAAAGAACGGAACGAGCATGATAAAAATTATTAATTAGTTAAAATATGGTGGAAACTCGCGTGAAAAAGTTCTTTCACCCTCTCGCAATATTCACATACTCACGCACGCGCATATATATATATATATATATATATATAATTTTCGGTGACAATGATAATGAGGACATGTGTTTTTCGTCTCTCATGTCTCATTCAAAGTCAAAAAAAGAAAGAAAGAAATAAAAAAAAAAAAAAAGAGAAAAAAAATAAAATCCGTTTCGTTCTTTGAATACTGAACAGACAAATTATAAGTTAACAAACAAATAATATCATAATAATAATAATAATAATAATAATAATAATAATAATAATAATAATAATAATAATAATTATTATAATAATAATAATAATAATAATAATAATAATAATAATAATAATAATATTAATAATAATAATAATAATAATAATAATAATAATAATAATAACAAAAAAGAAATAAGAACGAGTAGTAAATCCGAAAAACAGAATACATATATATATATATATACACATACATATATATATATGTATATATATGTATATATACCATATATATATATATGGTACATATATAACATATCGCTGGTACCGAACATCGAAGCATTAAAAAAAATGTGAATGTCATCAACAAAAATTCGTCCTTATTGAAATTCGAATTATCAACTCGTCTTATCCAAAGAGAAAGAGAAGAAAAGAAAAAAAAGAAAGAAGAAAAGGCTTGAAGAATGACACGAGAAAAACGAGTTGTCCGAATAATTTGTTTGTTTTTTTTACATGTAAAAATTGACAAAACAATAAGACAGTCAACTAATTAAAAAACGGTCTAACATCTTGTCACAATATATTTAAACGAATAATGTTGTACAAAAAATGGCGACAATCTAGCCAAGACATACATATATCTCATTTTCTTCGAGAGGAAGAAAACAGAAAGAAAAAAAAGAAAATGAAAAAAAATGAAAAGAAAAAGAAAGAAGAACATTCACACAAATTAAAAAAAGTTCGGTGTAATATATAAGACAAACATTGAATTTTTTCGTACAAAGGTCACACATCATTCTTCACACGCTCTTACGATTTATCTGCTCGATTTTATATATATATACACACACATATATATATATATACATATATATACATATATATATATATATATATATATACATATATATATATATATATATATATGTCACACTTACAATGTATTATTATAGACAATACGTAGCAAGATCTTTGCAAACTCTCTTTCTTACATTTCTCTCTCCCTCTCATTCACTCTCTC